TTCTTTTAAAAAAAAAGAACAGACGTACTGGCTGGCTCACCAGATGAAAAGAAATCTACTGCAGCCATCACATCTGATAATTGGGGAGCTGCAATATAATAAAATGTTTGCTTTTGGGTTTGCCACTTTAAAAATCCATTATATGATGTACTAATAATTACAGAGCTGCATTCAGTTGTCGTTTATACCTGCCTAGAATTCATTATGTACATAATATAATTAATCAAATGGTTATCTTTAGCAAACTACAGAAACTGCCTAATATTTTAGCTAGTTCACATCAATCCAGCCACAGAGTACGTTCCATTTAGATGGGGTCACACGATCATATATATTTCAATTTAAAAAGGGTACATTAAAACCATAGAAAATGACCCATTAATGCCCAATGACTGTGTGAGAATAAGCCCAGAGTCCGAATACATTTCAGAGTGTCCTCAGGGGCAGTGGGGGATAAATTAAGCCACATTTGTCGATGAGGATGAGAAAGAACTTAGATCATTCGGTATACCTTCTGTGTCTTGTTCGATGCCATAAAAATGAAGTACACTATGATCAGACAGATGACATTTTTCTGTTTCTATTGGGTATATGGGTATGAAAAGTCTTCATCTGTGTATTGCTATTCCTGGCATCTTTCTATGCACACGTCCCAGAGGTAGTCTTGGTGCAACTTCCAGGTATGCTTGCTTTCAGTTCAATTATAGTGTACTTAAAGCCAACACTTTTTTTTTGTTTTCCATAGAGTGGTCAGAGATTAGAACCCCTGATGGGTTTTTATTGCTATCTGTATCCAATATTGAGAGATTCACACTTTATATTTGTTCTGGCAGCCATAATAACTGGGACAAAAAGTGAGAGAAAATTAAAAAAAAAAATGTAGTTGTTATGAGAACAGAATCAGAGGGGACATCTTCCAATGAAGACACCAGTTCTGGTGACAACTGTCTAAGATGGAATTTATCTAAATGGGTATCAAAAGTCAGTATAACAAATAATTTTCAAAAATCCTACAACCAACGTATCAAATCACACCAAAACGAGTCAATAATAAAACAGGTACCATAAGCAAGCTACACTTTATTGCCAAGAGTATTGGGACACCCCTCCAAATCACTGAATTTAGGTGTTCCAATCACCTTCATGGCCACAGGTGTATAAAATCACCTAGACATGCAGACTGCTTCTACAAACATTTGTGAAAAAAATGGGTCGCTCTCAGGAGCTCAGTGAATTCAAGCATGGTACCGTGATAGATTGCCACCTCTGCAATAAAGTCCATCCGTTAAATTTCCTAAATATTCCATTGTCAACTGTTGGTGGTATTATAACAAAGTGGAAGCAACTGGGAACAACAGCAACTCAGCCATGTAGTGGTAGGCCATGTAAAATGACAGAGCGGGGTCAGCGCATGCTGAAGAGCACAGTGTGCACAAGTTGACAACTGTCTGCAGAGTCAATGGCTAAAGACCTCCAAACTTCAGATTAGCACAACAACAGTGCAAAGAGCTTTATGGAATGGGTTTCCATGGCCTAGCAGCTGCATTCAAGCCTTATCTTCAAGTGCAATACAAAGCGTCGGATGCAGTGGTGTAAAGCATGCCACCACTAGACTCTAGAGCAGCGGAGACCTGTTCTCTGGAATGACGAATCACGCTTCTCTCTCTGGCAATCCGATGGACGTGTCTGGGTTTGGTGGTTGCCAAGAGAATGATACTTGCCTGACTGCATTGTTCCAAGTGTAATTTTGGTGGAGAGGGGATTATGGTGTGGGGTTGTTTTTCAGGGGTTGGGCTTAGCCCCTTAGTTCCAGCAACTCTTCAGGCATTAGCATACCAAGACATTTTGGACAATTTCATGCTCCCAACTTTGTGGGAACAGTTTGGGGATGGCCCCTTCCTGTTCCAACATGACTGAGCACCAGTGCACAAAGCAAGGTCCATAAAGACATGGATGAGCAAGTTTGGGGTGGAGGAACTTAACTGGCCTGCACAGAGTCATGACCTCAACCCGAGAGAACACCTTTGGGGTGAATTTGAGCGGAGACTGCAAGCCAGGCCTTCTCGTCTGTGCCTGACCTCACAAAAGTGCTTCTGGAAGAATGGTCAACATTCCCATAGACACACTCTTAAAGCTTGTGGACAGCCTTCCCAGAAGAGTTGAAGCTGTTAGAGCTGCAAAGGGTGGGCCAACTCAATATTGAACCCTATGGACTGAAACGGGGATGCCATTAAAGTTCATGTGCGTGTAAAGGTAGGCATTCCAATACTTTTGGCAATATAGTGTATATGTGAATAGCAGAGACATAGACCTAGCTAAAGCATTTTATTGTTTTTGTCACAGTTCACAGACATGGTAGTCAAATTCCAGACCCGCCTAATGTGGACAAATCAATTTACTTGAAGTTTAGCAGCTCTGTTTATAAGTTAGTTTTAAAACCTATATTTTCATAAATGCCAGTTTTTGTTAGTGGCTTCTAATTTTAAGATCCATTTGGTCTCCAAACAGAGGAGCTGGTTGTCAATGTCACTCCCTCTTTCTGAGCTTTCAATATGTTCTAATGCCTAGACGTTTATAGCCGAAGAATCAAACCTGTGTGATATAAGCCAATGTGCCTGGTGACAGATGTGGTCATCTTGTCATTTTGAATAAGATAGATGTGGTCTCCTATACTTTTCCAGAAGGGCCTCTTAGTCTTGTCCACATAAAAAGCATTACAGGAACACAGCCCAAAAAACACCTAACTCCAGTTGTCTGACAATTGATGTTATAACATGGAGTCCAACTCTCCCCATTAGGAGATGTGATACTATACCCTTCAAAAATCCAATCACAAAAATTACAGCATCTAAATTACTGCATCTAAATGTACTTCTCCTAATGTTTTGCTGGAATGATTATGAAGGTATAGGGACAAGATGGCTGCATGTCAGAAGATTATGGAAACATTTTGCTCAACTAAAATTGATTTCAGATCTGCTTCCTATGTATCTGGCCAATAAAGTGTCCTCGGTCAACAAATGCCAGTGATCTTTTCAAATAGAGGTTGGCATATGATGCAGCACAATGTGTCCACATCGCTACACCCTGCATCTGGAGGAACAGGGGGCGACTGAAAATTAACACATTCCTGGATAGGATGTGTTCCAACAGTTCCAAAATAATGATTATAGGGCCATGCAGATTTTACTTCTCTTTTTAAAAAACCTCACACTCACCGCAATCCCGTGGTGATGGAGAATTGAGCTACACAAGGCCTCTACAGTATATCAGTGGTGACCAGCCAAGCTCCATCTGGAAGCTGTATGTTCTCATTGGTTCTCAACAGGTCTCTTGTGTCCTGCACATAGGATGGCAATGATGTAACAAAGGGTCAGATAATAGTGAGTTTGCTTGCATTTTCTGTAATGCATCCTATGCCTGAAACAGTAAGTAACCTGGAAGGTCTTTAAAATTATTGTGTGCTTTTGATAGTGCATAGAATGTTGGAGCAGTTAGATATTTAACATTTAGAAAGTCTTTGTCAATAAAGCTATCATTGAGTGCTCTGCAGGTAAGATTTCTGAACCCTCATAGAAAATTTTAAGTTTACTTTCAGGGATGGGTTTGTACCGATCATGATTTTTTAAAATATTTCGACACATCAGAATAGTTTTGCCAATCCAATACAACCACATTACCACCTTTATCAGATGGTTTTATAATTATAAAAGGATTGCTTTTCAAATTGAGAAGTGCTCGGTTTAATCCAGGCTCCAAGTTAGCCAGGCCTGAGTTTAAATCCGATAAGTTGTTGATATTATGTATAAATTTTTGTACAAAGGTCCAGATGTGAATATTAAGCTGCAAAGATGTAAAGGTTTGTGATTTCTTTTTATACCGAACGTTACATATGGTTGATATTAGGTTCACTGAAGGAATCTCTTACTTCTGCATTACTTTCCAAAGGAGCATTAGGTCCCGTAAAGCATGGAAATCACTTACTGTGAATCCCTTCCACATTTCCATATCAGCAGCAGACGCTTGGGGGCTTTGGGGGGGTGTATGCTCTTTATCATGAGCAACATGTAAAGTTAGCTTTCTAGCAAATGAAAAATATCCTTGGCTGTCTCAAATCAGTCCATTTCCTTATACAGGCAAAAGCTCAAAGGCAGTATTTGTTTCTTCATCTGGGAGCAGGGGCGGACTGACCATTTGGAAACTTGGGCACTGCCCGAGGGCCCGAGGTCAGTAGGGGGCCCCATGAGATGCCCCTGGTACCTTTTTCATAGGCTTTTTTGAGTTTGGGCAAGGACACAGGGGCCCCATGATCCCCTATTGCCCGGGGGCCCAATGAGTTGTCAGTCCGCCCCTGTCTGGGAGTCAATACATAGGAGGATAAGTTGACAATCTGCAGTTCCTCATTCTTTAGGTCTTAATTAGAGATGGTTTTCTTGGACTCCCCTAAAAGGGACAAGGCTCAATAAAGAGGAGGAAAATGTATAGCTGCTTGCCAGTGTAGCCAAGTCTGTCTTACCTGCAGCCAAGTTTTCCCTGGGTTTATCTCTCACCACATCACCACCTTGAGAATTAAAGATAAGACCTGAATTGACAACAACACCCGAGAAAGAACAGTAGGTATTATCTTGTGGCCAACGTAGTATTTTGACTTTTACTATGAGTACAATGGGTACCATGTCCTTCATGTTTGAATTTGCTTCTTACTGTGAATTCTGGTGTATATATAAGTAGAGTACATCAACATCCGACTCAACCTGGCTGGCTGTCATATCTAAACTACAGTAGGTTTTAAGAAAAGGTGGGGAGATTTGTTCCTCAGGGCTTCTTTTCTTGTGTCCATTATTGGTGTTTTCGTTGCTTGCAGATGTCTGCAACTAAGACCTTGGTTTTCAACTAGAAGCTGATTAAAAAGTTCCCTTTGACTTGTTGGTAGGGCTTTAGGTTGAAGAATGTTTGTAGTACATAACCATGGTCCTGTTGAGACTTGTTACTGGTCGTTTCTAGGCTCGAGATAGCAGTGAAAAGAATTCAATAGGGATGGGAAACACAATAGTGGAATTACGCTCTGTTGCAATCTGTGACAAGGTCTGAAGATACCGGAGATGGAGGGCAGCTGGAGAATCCGACATGATCACTGCTGCTTCTTTAAGGGACCGAGAAGCATTCATCTCCCCTTCTGCTGCAACAACCTGCATCAAGCATAGCAAGTAGTATGAATGAGAGACCTTTTATTTGCAGAATTTTTACTTTCTACAGGTTTCACTCTAAATTTAAGTTAGAAACATTCTAATATATGTGTCCAATCTGCTACATAGTGAATACAAACTATTTAAAGTGTTACTAAACCCACAACAGTAAAATCAGTCTGTATATGCAATAAAGCATGCTTGTTGTTATACTCACTGTGGAACCTAAGGGGGTTAATCATCTGCATTGTGTAAAAAGGCTGTTTGATCTTGTCTTCTCTGTTCGTCCCCTTCTTCTACTGTCCAGTCTGTCCCATCTTCTAATGTACAGAGCTCTAAAAGTCACTCTGCACATACTCAGTTTGGTGTGTATTGCTAGAAATTATTTTTTTTTCTTTGCAAGGGTGCATGTGATCAGCACAGGGCCAAATCAACTCTGTCCATACGGAGGGTCAGGGGTCATGCCGCCTCATAGGACAGTCAAGGCAGAATGAAAACTCCTCCTATAAGATTAACCAGTGCTCAGTTGGACACACTGATAGAAGTCACAAGACTGCTATATACTGCTAATGAGAAAAGATATTTAGCAGTTTATATTTACTAAAATAATTGCATTTCTGTGTACTGTGGGAGACCGGATATAGTGAATGCAGGGTCCTGGGTTTAGTAACACTTTAACCTGGTCGATGCTGCTGGAAATCACAGAAGCATACACAGCTACTCCAATTATTTCTACTTGCTTCCGAGTGCTGTGCTGAGCAGTTTCCCTGTTGCATTCTGAACACAGGAGGTCGTCATTCGCAATCGGCACTTTGCATTCACTTCACACTGGGGGTCACTTACTTGCCACTGCCCCCATTCATAGAATACCTGGTGTTTTCTGACTGGATGCGGTGGAGATTGTGACCTTACTGCTTCTCCTCTCCACCTTGTCCAATCAGAAAAACCTTGTATTCAGTGAATAAAATACAAGGCATTCTATGATGGCAACAGTGCCAAGTGAACACACGTTCCATCTTGTAGGTTTTTTTTAGCATTATTTGACAGATACCCGCTCCCACTTCCGTGGAGTTGTCTTCCCTCCCTGCCCGTAGTCTTCTAGGACACGTGACAGGTCCCACAAGACTATGGGGCCATTCACAAAGTGCAGCTCTTCTCGCACATGTGAGGCTGCAAGCTGTCACAGCCGGGTGCCCACACTGAAGGTGCTAGGGAAAGAAGACGGCCGGTGAAAGCAGGACACCGCTGGACCGAGAACCAGGTAGGACCGAGGAGCATGTTCTTCTGCACAGTAGAGCAGAGCAGCTTGGGGGGGTAAAAAGTGTGTCCTATGGAGCGAAAAATATGGTACTCAGCTATGCAACACTACCCAAATTACATTTTTATCATTATTTGAGACAGATAGAGCTTTCTTTTGATGGGGTTTATTCACTGCTGGAGTTTTTTTTTTTTGCTGTATAAAAAGGAAAAATATCATCAACAAGTTTGAAAAAAAAAACAACATCTTTTTCTTAGTTTCTGTTATAAAAGTATGCACATGAATAATCTTTCTTTCTAAATTTACGCCAAAATGTATTCTGCTACATTTTAGAAAAAATAACCCAAATCAGTGTTCACATCTAAGCAGTTTGCATTTTTGAACACACATTTTTGATACATTTTGATGCTTTATTTATTTTATTTTTTTGGTAATAGGAAAGTATGACAGTTCTGTTCATGTAGTACGTCAAAGTCACATCAAAGGCCTGTCAAAGTGGTGCAGGAACCTTTGTGTGTCAAAATTCACTTTTTTTGGCTAAAAGGAAAGTATGACAGTTCTGTTCACGTAGTGCAACTTTGATGCGACTTTACACTCTCTGGCACTCAAGTAGCATCAAAGTCACATCAAAGTCCCGTCAAAGTGGTGCAGGAACCTTCATATGTCAAAATTCAGATTTTTTTTTGGCTAAAAGGAAAGTATGACAAGTTCTGTTCATGCAGTGTGACTTTGATGCAACTTTAGACTCTCTGGCTCTCAAGCAGCATCAAAGTCGTGCAGGAACCTTTACCTGTCCAAAGTTGCCTGTTAGGGTTAAGGGCTAGATTTAGATTTACATGTTAGGGTTAGGATTAAATGTTAGGGTTAGGAATAAATGTTAGGGTTAGGGGCTAGAATTAGATTTACATGTTAGGGATATGGTTAAAAAGGTTAGGATTAAGGGCTAGGGTTTAAGGTTAAATGTTAGGGTTATTTGACAGGTATATGCGAGTGGCCTTGAATGCACACAGTGTTCAGGTCCGTACACCTGCATCCACACACCTCTCACCTATATTGCAATACAGACTGCCTGCACACAGCTCCAGGTAGCTCCTGCCACATAAACTGCTGATTTACACTGTACAGGCTATAGTGCCCATGTTAATGAGCCTCAAGACCACACAGAGCTTTATTAACTTCATAGTTTTATCTTGTAGATTTAGCAGGAATTTTGTTGTGTATATGCATGCTAATAATGATTTAGTTTATCTTTAGGATATACAAGGCCCCATGATGTAGGCTGTATAGGGTTGTATGTGACCCCATGTAGCCCTGAGCACAGTGGTTAAGTCATTAGTACTTATACCATACAGCACTGGAGGTCTTGGTTAATTCCTGACCAGGACACTACCTGCATGGAGTTTGCATGGGTTCCTTCCCATACTCCAAAAGACACTTGGTAGGTTAGTATGTGTGCACAAATTAACTATATGTGTATCAAGTTTTGTATGCCATTGCCAAGCTGAGAAATGGTGTTTAGGAAAGACTTGGGGACCTACCATTGAATAAAATGCCAATAAAAGTCCATCAAAAAAAAAAAAAAAAAAAAAAAAAGCTTTCAAGCATATCAGATATTATATTACTTTTATTATTTCAGGCACTTCTATAGCGCCGTTAATTTATGCAGCACTTTACATATAGATTGTACATTCAGATCAGTCCCTAACCCTCAAGGGGCGTACAATCTAAGGTCCCTAACTTACATTCATACGTACACATACTAGGGCCAATTTAAACAGGATTCAATTAACCTACCAGCATGTCTTTGGAGTGTGGGAGGAAACCAGAGTACCCGGAGGAAACCCACGCAGGCACAGGGAGAACATGCAAATTCCAGGCAAGTGGTGCCGTGGTTGGGATTCAAACCGATGACCCTAGTACTGCCAGGCAGAAGTGCTAACCATTTAGCCACTATGGTGCCCGGAGAGCTGACCCATAGAGTAATGCACAAATGAATGGACATATATGTACATACCTATCCCAAAACACAACAGGGATTCAGCCAGCAATAAAAACCTATTTCATCAAAAATTACATAAACCTTTTGGCTAAAGTTGGACTTTAATGCTTTTTTTAGCAGTTCCATTTTCTTTAGGTACAGTATATATTTTCTTCCAGTTTCTGCCCAGGCCTTCTTTTTCTTAAGCACTGGTCCCAAAATTTAGGACACATATCAATAAACTGTATGTATGTTCTGGCTCATAAATATATAATTGGATAATATTTACTCAGATGTCTGAAAGACATATCTTACTATGACATTACAGATTGAGAACAATAGGCTTTTGTCAGTATCAAAGCACTAAGCGGTATATTTATACTGAGGATCTTGACAGTTTTTTGGCAGCAGTCCTATGCAAGCACTTTTCCTATTTACACAATGTAATTCAGCTGGATTTGGAATGCAGAGGCAGGGTACTGCATGACTGTCCTCTGAGCAAATCCTGAACACACTAAAGTCTTAGGGGAAATAACTCATACAGTAATCTGAAACTGCAAAAAGTAATCTTTGTGCTACTTTGTTTTAATATATTTAGTCGAGAGAATGTACTAGTCTATCTAGTTTTTTTTTTTACAATATATATTTTAAAGAAAATTTGGGATTCAGTGTAAATCAAATAAAGTTTGATCTGCTTATATTTTGCTTTTCTTGGTTCCTCCTTTCTCCCTCATCAACATGTTAAGGATTACGAAAACCTTTCCTTTACATACCTTATGTAGTCAGATGCTTGACAATGAAAGGACAGTGAAAAAAACACCAGCTGCTGCCCCAGGGTGCTGAACTGGTTAACAGCTATATCAGCAAGAGGAGGGAAGCTGCTGAGTAGGAAAAGTTCAATAGACTGAGGCAGGCCATAGGTTATGTGATTTTCTTTCCTGCAACCTGTAGAAAGTCCCTGGGTTCCCCCATCAACACAGTGTTGATAGGGAGTCCCTCCCGTAGAGCTATTGTGTACTCCCAGCGTGGGGAAAGGGAGGTTTGGGAAGCCATCCCTGCCAGGACAACACAATGATTATTGCTAGCAGCTATAGCTGCGGCTATCAATCACATGCTAAAATCTGACATGCTAGTTGTACCCACCTCGATCAATGGATTGACTTGGGTGCAATCAGCCTGCCCATGGATGGAACGAATATTGACCAGTCCCTGCTGAACCACTGCACTGTGGAATCTTTTGTCCAGAGGAGAGAGAGAGACTCTACTATAATGAAGAGTTTTTGAACTGCCTTTCCCTGAGAGGAAATTGCCAGGAGGAGAAAGAGCTGCATTTTCACAAGCTCTACAGGTCACTTCCTTTCTCCACGAAGGAGCCTGGAGAGTGTATATCACTGTCCCGTGCGCACCACCATTGCCGCATAACGGTGGTCTGAGTAGGATCTGGAGCGCTGAATCCAGATGTACCAGCAGTCACCTGGGTTCAAAGCGAAGAGTGGACTAATCAAGATGTGTGACCTGATGGTGAGGTGCAATATTGCTGAGGCTGGTAAGGTGGTGCTGTGGAGATTTACTACATGTTGCTAGAGGGAAAACGTCCTTTAGAAACTGACCATATAGCCATCGAGCAGCCTAACTGTTGCCTGAAGACTTGACTGGGACTATTCTCATGTGCACCAACAGTACAACTGGGCCCTGACATTAGCCAGCTGAAGAGTTAGGATTAAAGACTGTCCCTTTACAATTGCTACACATAGACCTTCACCTATTGCTAATGCGAAGAGGTACTGCTCTTCAGGGCTAATAAACCTGCAGTAGGACTCCTCAGCACTTAGGCGGCATTGTGGCTTCCAAGAATTCTTTGGATTGTCGCCCTCCCCAGGGCTCCCAGGCCCAAGACCACTGTCCCTTTTTATACCACAGGAGCAACTAACAAAAATCCGGGAACTAAATTAACCCCTAACCCTCCCTTCCGGGGCAGCACCATAAGTAATCTTAATCTGCCTTCATAGTTATTATACTGTGTAGAGGACTGTGTCTGAACCTACCTTCTATGTGTTCATTTATGCTCAAACCAGCATTTATTCTAACCTGTACTGTGTCAGAGGGGGTGAGGCTGATCTTATAGTTGAGGCACAGAACAGATTTACCAAATTACCAAGGGGCTCCTGTGTGGGTAGCACTACACTTATTTTATACCCAGGTGTGCCATCAGTGGGTCTCTGTGTTGCTGTGTGCAATGCAGACAGATAATGGCTGGTAGGAGGGTACTGTACATAGTTTCCTGAAAACATCACAAGTAGCCACCAAAAAAGTACTCCCAAGACTCAGCCATGATGCAAGCAGTGGGCTGGCTCTTGGATAGGGTGACCAGGCACCTGTTTCCATGAACAGCCCCCAATGCACGAGACATACAGCAGACATGACTTATTGCCAGTCAACTCATCTGCACTAAAATTATTGTGCTAAAAATGTATTTCAAAGAGTATGTAAAATCAGCATTTTATTTTATTTTGGATAGAGTAGGTACTAGTAAAACCTATATCATCCTTTTGTTTTTTGGTTAAATTTCTCTTTACTTCCTTTCCCATAGACACAACAGGATGTGAGATGAAATCTCACAAAAGTGATGTGATGCCTTGGGATGGTCATACCATAGGTAACTAAGGTCCTGTGGAGGTGGAACTCTCAGAGAGGCTAGGAGAGCATTGGGATGATCTAATGAAGATATGGTTGCTATTGGATATTACTGCTACATCTAAAGGCCCTTTGTCTATACTGGAATCTATTTTTTGCTACAGAATCTTCTGGTCAGTAATGGATGTTCAGCATTCCCTAACCCTCTCTCTGTAGTGAGCTAATACATTCCTTTTTGTTTGCATCTTAAAGTGACTGGCACCCAATGGAGCTCCACTTGCTGGCTGAAAATGAGAATACAATATACATATTCATAGGCAATATTTAAAAAATTACATGTACAAACAGCTACCTATACAAGTGCCTCTTAACTAGTCATTATCTTATTTCTCTGTAATTATCTGGCAGGGGTCCCAAAAATTCCTGTCTATTAAAATTTGATTAGTTAAATAAAAGATACCTTTGCTCTCGCTTCTCTGGCAGCTTCTGCTTCCGTTGCCATAGCTCTCTGCAGCGATAATGGTAATTTCACATCCTTTATCTCTACACGTTCTACTTTAATCCCCCATTCCTTTGTAGCTTCATATAAGACTCTCTGAAAAAAGAAACAATTATTATACATTTGTATAACAAAATCAATATCATACACATTACAACAAAGTACAAATAGAAAATAGAGTATTTTTTTGCCAAATTTCTTTTAATTATTTTACACGGTTTTAAACCAATGCTTATGGAATTTTTTTATAGTTAAACAAAATATTTCTTTTACAAATAAATATTTCATACAATGTGCACCTGTGACACTGATTTTGCTGAGAATTATGGCTATTCCAAAGCAGATGCACATCACTTACATCCGTGTCCATTACAATTTTTCTCCCCTTCTGATGGAGGCAGCACTCATTCATGTCATCCTTTAGGGGTGGTCAGATATGAACAGATAAGCATTTGCCTATATCTGCACAACAGCAGAACTGAATTCAAACATTTTCTGTATAGTTCAATGAACCTGAATGGACCCGGATGTGGTTGGATATAAGAGGATGCGTGTCCACTTACATTCAGCTTCAAATAGGAATACATTGCACTCTGTTTTTGTTCCATGTAATCAGGTGTCAAAGAGGAACACCCATGTAAAAAGGGGCCTAAAGTGTCTCTTCTGTGATTGAAACCCTATTTATGGCCATATAGTGCTGTACAGAACACTATATGGTTTTACCCTAAAAGAGAAGCAGCAGCCAGAGGTAGTTGGCACAGCCCATCCAGTTTTCACCTTTGTTGTATTACAGTTCTGGTGATCTCCTGCGGCCTCTTTGCAGACACTTCCTGTCTACCTGCATGCACTCCAAAAATTGCCGCATTCCATATCTCAAGCAAGGTTTCCTAATAGTGATGTAGCACTACTCTCTTAGGAGTCGCTGAGTTTTGGGTTCCCCTATAGTCCTGCACAGCCATGCAACATCATTTTCTTCAGCCCTTGCACACTGGAGGGGTGTAGAATTACTCACTGTTCCTCGCCTGCAGGCTTTTCAGGTTGGTATCTGCCTTCAACCTTCTGCTGAGATGGGTCCTTCCTTAGCACCACAAGTGGTCCTCTCTCTGGGGACTGGTGAGGTCAAGCGATCCTCCTTTCCAGCTCCTGCCTGGAGGTAGGCCTCTTCCCAATGGGCCTCCTCCCCGGCTCCTCCGCTCCAGCCTCTCACTGCATCTTCCACCCAAACTCTCCTACTGTTGAGGAGGCCCAGTCATGCTTAAAGGTTGCCCAGACCCTATGCCAAGCCTCCTGCCAATGGATTGGTCAAGATCCCTTAAGTTTGCAGATCAGCCCCTCCTCAACCCCATCCACTGCCTTCCAGAAACTTCTCAAGTTTCTAGAGCAGGGGGAGGTATCAGAGAACTGATCTGCAGAGCCCTCAGACCTGACCTAAAATGGTCTGGCTGACTCACACCCAGGCTGCTATCCAGCCTCTATTACAAATCCAGCTAGCTCCTCCTGGCTAGAGGGGTGCTACAGTGACAACAGCAGACTGCCTGTGCAATACATGTGGAAATGGTCATTTACCAGAAGCCCATGTGACAGGGTGACAATACAAGAACACAAATGGAACAGACACAGACAGTTGTCACACTATAAAACAGAATGCTGAACAAGAACTTTCATGTTAGGATCACCAAGTATTTATTGAAAGCTGCAGATTTAAAAATGAACAAGACAAACATGGTAAAGTTTATGAAATTTTACAGCTTGGGTTCACATCTACTTTAAAGGAAAGCTGTACCAAGAATAATATAGAGGCTACTATTGCAAACCTTCTAAAATTGCCTGTATTTGGCATAAGACTTTCTGAATCATTGACCCAAAACAAACATATTGGTAAATCCATGTTGTTCCAGGTCAGCAACTCAAAGTACTGAAGCCAATGGATCAGCATAGCAGCCAGGCAACTAGCATTTTCAGAATGAGAATGCCAGCAATAGCAGCCTCCATGTTTGACTTAGTACAGGTTTCCTTTAAGAATTTTAAGAAAAATTGTTGTTTTTTTTTTTAAATACCTCATTCAGAGAGGATGTATTGCTGTTCAAATAGAGGTCACTATTTTTGGCTGTCTTGGCTTTGGAATGATATTTGACAATTTCTTTTGCTTTATGACCAATTCCTAAAAGGTAATCCTAGTATGAAGGGTACATCTAATAACCCAAAAACCAATACATTTGAAACCATATTTGGGTTCCTACCTTAATCTGTGATATACAGCAGAGGTCTCCAAACTGTTGCCCGGGGGCCGAATGCGGCCCTTTGCCAGCCTTTAACAACCCTTGGGGTACTATTCCTCTAAATTATACAAGGCACTATTCCTTCCACTGACACCAACAATGGTGCACTATTTATTCCACTGATATCAATGATGGGTTACTATTCCTTTCACTAATACCAATGATGGGGCAATACTCTTCCTTTTACAGACCACCAACCCTGAGGCCATGTTTATTCTGATGCTGGGCCCAGGACAGTTTCTAACCCTACTGACCACAATCTGGCCCCCCCAAAGTCTGAGTTACAGTAAACTGGCCCTTTGAATGAAAAGTTTGGAAACACCTGATATACAGTTTATCACATACTCTGTCACTTGACGTATTTCTTAACATACCTGTAGGGAGGGGGTGTTCTGTAGCTCACAAAGAGAACAATGACAAGTTGATATTATTTGAGATAAGAGTGCAGAGGATGCAGGGAGTTATTCTCTGCAGCATGCTGGCAGGGGACATGTTTCTGTGCTCAGGCTGTGGCTGCTTTCTAAAGAAAATGAACTGTAAAGCTTCGCACATTTCTGTTTTGGTGGATTTGAACAAAAATAATAATTGGGCTTTAAATATTTTCAAGATCTTTATGGCAGAAATTTGATTACATTTGACCAAACAGAAAAATAAGCAATTTGAATAAACACTCTTTAAGTATTAAAACAAGTATACTTACACCCATGTGGTCAGCCATCTCCTCACGGTCAATGAGAATGTCTGTGAGACTCTTAGTACCCAGCATATTTCTTAGTGTGGTCTGGGCCAGCATTTGAGTTGCTTGATTGGCATTGTCCACTTTGACTACTGTAACAATTGGATTGAATATACGATAAAAGACAACAGCATCAACCATGATAGTCACTGAATCCTTGGTGAGAACCTGTAAGAGGGGGAATCAATAGTAAAATTTAAATTTTTATTGTCATTATTATATTATACAGGATTTTATATAGCACTTAACTTTTTGCTCAGCGCTTTACAATATAACAGAAGAAAATACAGCAACAAATCAGTTCAATACAAGAGGGAAAGGAGGACCCTGCTTCTTGGAGCTACATGAACTGTGTAAATGAGAACAAACACCAAAAGGTATAGTCTAAGTGTAGCATTATAACTGCTTTAAAGAGGAATCCCAGGTATAGATATGTTATACATATTGTAGTTAACTATGTATATACCTTAAAGTGTTACTAAACCTACAACAGTAAAATCAGTCTGTATATACAGTAAAGCATGCTTGTTATACTCACTGTGGAACCTAAGGGGTTAATCATCTGCATTGTGTAAAAAGACTGTTTGATCCTTTCTTCTCCGTTCATCCCCTTCTACTGTCCAGTCTGCCTCGTCTTCTAATGTACAGAGCTCTAGGAGTCACTCTACACATACTCAGTTTGGTGTGTATTGCTAGAAATTATTTTTTTTCTTTGCGAGGGTGCATGTGATCAGCATAGGCCAAATCAACTCTGTACATACAGAGGGTCAGGGGCCATGCCGCCTCATAGGACAGTCAAGGCAGAATGAAAACTCCTACAAGATTAACCAGTGCTCAGTTGGACACTGATAGAAGTCACAAGACTGCTATATACTGCTAATGAGAAAAGGTATTTAGCAGTTTATATTTACTAAAATAATTGCATTTCCATGTACTGTGGGAGACCGGATATAGTGAATGCAGGGTCCTGGGTTTAGTAACACTTTAACCTGGTCGATGCTGCTGGAAGCTGGAAATCATAGAAGCATACACCGCTACTCCAATTATTTCTACTTGCTTCCGAGTGCTGTGCTGAGCAGTTTCCCTGATGCATTCTGAACACAGGAGGTTGTCATTCGCATTCGGCACTTTGCATTCACTTCACACTGGCCACTGGGTGTCACTTACTTGCCACTGCCACCATTCATAGAATACCTGGTGTTTTCTGATTAGATGTGGTGGAGATTGTGACCTTACTGCTTCTCCTCTCCACTTTGTCCACTCAGAAAAACATTGTATTCAGTGAAAAGAAAATACAAGAAATTCTATGATGGCAACAGTGCCAAGTGACTGACCTCCCTGTTAGCCAGTGTGCAGTCACTCTGCAATCACTACAGCAGCATCAACTTCTACAGTAGTTGTCAGCTTCCCCAGCAGCCCCTCATGTATGAAATATACAGTATATACACTTACATTGGTCTAAAGCAGCCCAATAAAAGTATGCAATTAAGTTCATACTGTAGCCAGCAGAAAACTTACTGTAAGGACTGTTAGAGTACCTGTTATCCTGCATAGTCTAGAATAGACCTTGCAGTCATTGAATTACAGCTTAGGCCTAGCTTCCTCACCATAAGTAACTCTAGGCGACTTATTTTTCCCTTGATAACAAGTATACCGTTGCCTTGGGCTACTCGTTTTCAGTGGGGAAAGCTACAGTTTATGCTGACCTTACCTGAACTTAAAGCAGAGCTCCACCCAAAGCGGAAGTTCTGCTTTAATGCTTTGCCCCCTGCTCCCCATTAAGGATTGGCACCTTTGGGGAGCGTGTACCCGAATTTGAATTATGCTGCGTTCACCTAGACGATCTCAAGTTGTCCCCTCCCCTCCCTCCCCTTAGTCTGCTGGGACACATGACAGGTCCCAGAAGAGTACGGGGCAATTCACAGTGCAGAGCTTCTTGCGCATGCACAGTGGGCACCCAGCTGTGAAGCCGGGTGCTTACACTGAAGATGCAGGCACCAGGGAGAGAAGACAGCTGGTGAAACCAGCAGTGGTGAGGACACCGCTGGACCGAGAAACAGGTAAGTGGCTGTATTTTAAAAGTCAGCAGCTACAGATTTTGTAGCTGCTGACTTTTTTTTTTTTTCAGCTGGAACTCCGCTTTAAAAAGGTAGCGCTGCTAGTTTATTGTTTGATATTTGAAACTGTATGTCAAGAAGTGTTCCACATTGCAAACTCCTGTCTTTTTTTTTGTGTATATTCACATTCTCAATATACACTCACTGTCCACTTTATTAGGTACACCTGTTCAATTGCTTGGTAACAAATTGCTAATCAGCCAATCACATGGCAGCAACTCAATGTATTTATGCACGTAGACGTGGTGAAGACAGCTTTCTGAAGTTCAAACCGAGCATCAGAATGGGGAATAAAGAGGATTAAAGTGACTGTGAACGTGGCATAGTTGTTGGTGCCAGACGGGCTGGTCTGAGTATTTTAAAAAACTGCTCATCTACTGGGATGTTCACTCACAACCACCTCTAGGGTCAGAGGTCAGAAGAGAATAAGAAGTCTGGTTGCTGCGACATTCAGATGGTAGTGTCAGAATTTGGCATAAACTACATGAAAGCATGGATCCATCCTGCCTTGTATCAATGGTTCAGGGTGGTGGTGGGGGTGTAATGGTGTGGGGGAGATTTTCTTGGCACTAGCAAGATGTACCTAATAAAGTGGCTGGTGAGTGTAAGTGAAGGGATGGACGCTGCTCAGCCAACACCAGGAGTCCAATGTTGAGGAATGGCAAAAGCCGCCATTCTAGCCATGCCCTCTGACACATTTTGCTAGTGAGTGTACTTTGTCATTTCTCCCCAAGGTCTTGACTCATTTCAGGGTGACCCTAAGGTATTAGCCAAAAGTTATCAGTCTCTCTCTATTGACGTGTATACTCGAGGTGTCAAGATCAGAGGTGCGAAGTTCTTAGCAGAGGTCAAGGTAAGATCAGAGGACCAGTACAACCAGCTGCTCTTGTGGGGGTAGAGCTACATGTATTTTAATTGCAAAATTACTTTTCCATGGATAAAAAAAAAAATATTGGAGTTGTGCTATACAACATGACCACTAGATGACAGGCAAGGATTACAATTCCAACAAGGGATGGTGCACAATTCCTATAGAAAGGATATGTATCATCTGCCTGGACAGCCAAGAAAAATGTATTCTTAAAATTGACACATTTCCTATATTTTCTGTTGGCACTGCAATCACACTAAAGCATGATTATAAGGTGTCCTTCAAAAGGAAGGAAGCAATATTTTTTAAAAATTAGAAGATCTATTATATTTTGCTGTTACCTGTATATTCCACCCTTCATAGTATAATAGGTTCACAAAAGCAATTTCTTACATTTTAAGTTCACGCTTTGTACACGTTACACCCATATTCATGTTACTGTAGCACCGGCCCCTGCAAACACCCCCCCCCTTCCCGATCTCAAGTTGTGACAGCTAATGGGGGATCTTGTTTCCCCCACTAGCTATCACAATTTTTAAAAAAAAGGTGGCCATGCAGGGATCTAACCAACTGGCTACATCATTCATTCACATAGTTCTTTGATTGGGAAATTACTCATTCTCATTAAAAACTACCATGGCACTGCCAAGTGTTCTAGTATTATTATTATTATACAGGATTTATATAGCGGCAGCAATTTGCTCAGAGCTTTACAATACAAAAGGGAGACAATACAGCAACAATACAGTTCAATACAAGAGGGTTAGGCGGGCCCTGCTCCTTGAAGCTTACAATCTAAGGAGGGAGGGGCTGGTGGTACAAAAGGTAATAACTGTGGGGGATGGACTGGTAGAAGGAATAGAAGATTCCATTATTAGCTGAAGGCAGGATAGGATTCCCTGAAGAGATAGGTTTTCAGAGATCGCCTATAAGTGATCAGAGTAGGTGATTGTCTGATAGATTGGGGTAGAGAGTTCCAGAGGATGGGGGAGGCTCTGCAGACGTCTTGGAGACGAGCATGGGAGGAGGAGACAAGGGAGCGAGAGAGCAGGAGGTTGTGGGAGGAGCAGAGAGGATGGTTTGGGTGATATTTGGAGACAAGATTGGTGATGTAATTTGGGGCAGAGTTATAAATGGCTATATAAGTTGTTAATGTTTTGAATTTTATCCGTTGGGCAACGGGAAGCCAGTGGAGGGATTGGCAGAGAGGGGTGGCTGATACAGAACGGTTAGTAAGGTGGATGAGTCTGGCAGAAACATTCATAATAGACTGAAGAGGGGATAGCCTGCGATGAGATAGGCCAATGAGGAGGGAGTTACAATAGTTAAGGCGAGATATAACACGGGAATGAATAAGTTGCTTAGTGGTTTCCGAGGTTAGGAACAGGCGTATCTTAGATATGTTGCGGAGATGTAGTCTACAAGATTTGGTCAGTGATTGGATTTGGGGGTGAAAAGATAAATGTGGGGGTCTAGGATTACACCTAGTACCCTGGCAAGAGGGGAGGGACTGATTGTTGTATTATTGATCTTGGTGGAGAAGTCGGGGAGGGGGCACAGGCTGGAGGGAATAGTATGAGTTCAGTTTTAGAAAGATTGAGTTTGAGGAAGTGGAGTGACATCCATGCCGATATGTCGCTTAGTAGGTTAGTAATACGAGAAGAGACTGAAGGGATGAGGTGAGGGGTAGAAAGATAGATTTGTGTGTCATCAGCATAGAGATGGTACTTAAAGCCATGGGAGTTTATCAAGTGACCAAGGGAGGAGTGTAGATGGAGAAGAGAAGGGGTCCAAGGACAGAACCTTGAGGGACCCCTACAGAAAGAGAGAGTGAAGAGGAGGAGGCAGAGTTATAGGTAACGCTGAAGGAGCACCGCGATAGGTAGGAGGGGAACCAGGAGAGAGCAGAGTCTCTGAGGCCAAGACAGTGGAGTTTTTTGAGGAGGAGGGGATGGTCAACAATATCAAAAGCCACAGAGAGGTCAAGTAGTAAGTGTATAGAGTAGTGGCCATTGGTTTTAGCATTTAGTAAATTATTGAGCTTTAGTAGGGCAGTTTCAGTTTAGTGAGCAAAAGCCAGACTGTAAATGGTCAAGAAGGTTGTTATCAGTGAGGTAGGAGCTCAGGAGATTGTAGACTAAGCGTTCTAGGAGTTTAGAGGTAAACGAGAGCAGGAAGATGGGTCTTAAGTTGTTCAGGTTGGTGGGGTCCAGCGAGGGCTTTTTAAGTATGGGAGTGATGTGTGCATGCTTTAGAGGGGAGGGGAAGGCACCATGAGAGAGGGAGAGATTGAAGATGTGAGTGAGGGAGCATAGGATGGAAGAAGACGGTGACCATAGTATTTGTGAGGGGACAGGATCCAGGGGGCATGTGGTAAGGTGGGCTTCTGAGAAAACATTAGTGACCTCTTCAGTAGTAGAAAGGTCAAAAGAGGAAAAAGTATTGGAGGGAGGTTTAGTATAAGGTATGCTAGGTGGGATGGATGTCTGTGCAGTGGAGATGCCCCTATGACTTGCATTAATCTTATTTTTGAAATGATTTGCAATCTTGTATGCAGTGAGGGAGTTATTGGGTGGAGAAAGTAGAGTTAAAAGTAGAGAAGAGATGATGAGGACTGGATGACAAGGTATTAATAAGAGTGACAAAGTAGACTTGTTTGGCAGCATGAAGGGAGTAATTGTATGTTAAGAAAGCAGATTTATATAGGGTGAATGCTGGCTGAGATTTGGTTTTATGCTACAATCGCTCCAGTGCACGACTTTGTCACTTAAGATTTTCGGGTGTCGTCAGTCTGCCACAGCTGTAATGGTCGGGGCCTGATACTTCATGTAGTTAGGAGGAGCAAGTGAGTCTAGTGTGGATGAAAGTGAACTGTTGTAGACAGCAGTGGCCAGGTCAGGGCAGGACAGGGGAGAGATTCTGTCATAGAGTTGGTCAGTTGCAGAGTGGAAAAGAGAAGGGTATAAGTTGTGAAGGTTTCTGCGGGTAATTGTTTGCTGCTTGGAAGGATTCGTGTTTGATCACAATCTTATCACCTTTAAGGTGTCCTCATCTTCAGAGAGAGGAAAGGGGGTGTTTGTGAGGTTAAAGGGAGTGCAAAGATGGGAGAAAACAAGGTCTAATGTATTCCCATCAGGGTGTGTGGAGGACTGTGTCCATTGTGTTAAGGCAAAAGATTGAGGTTAGGTTGAAGAGTTGGGATGTAGCTGGGTTGTTCACATTAATGGGGATGTTAATATCTCCGAGAATGATAGTGGGTATTTCAGAGGAGAGAAAGTAGGGTAGCCAGGCAGAAAAGTCATCAAGAAAGCGGGACACAGGTCCAGAAGGTCGGTAGATCATTGCAATCCTTAGAGAAATAGGAGAAAAAAGCCGAATGCAGTGAGTCTCAAAAGAGAAGGATAGAGAGAGAGGGTTAGGGAGGACTTGAAAGGTGCTCAGTGGGGATCCTAGATTGTAAGCTCCAAGGAGCAGGGTCCTCCTATCCCTCTTGTATTGAACTTTATTGTTGCTGTTTTGTCTCCCGTTTTATTGTAAAGCGCTGAGCAAACTGTTGGCACTATATAAATCCTGTATAATAATAATAATAATAATATTAATAGAAGCAAACCAACTCCATCTCTTCTCCGACCACTGGGTCTGGTGAGTCCAGAGCAGGCCTCCTTAGGAAAGTGCTGCTGGAGAAGAAGAATCTGCTGCTTGAAACCAGGTTAAGGGAGCAGGAGACAAAAAGATCATGGACAGAGGTGAGCTCATTACAGACAGAGGGGGCATTCCAGAGTGCACATGAAAAAGGGAGGGTGGTTTTTAGGAGCACAGGATTGAGATTAAATTGAGTGGATTGTGGGTATTCCTGGAGAAAGGAGGGTGCTTGGTGTGGGGGTGAGATACTGGAGGACCAGGGTTTGTAGAGATATCCCTAGAGGTTAGGAGGGTGTAGAAGTAGGGTGAGGAAAGTTCATCGATTCTTCCAGTCAGTGTGAAATTGCCTGCCCACAAGAAGTATGAGCAGACACATTACACTGATCGTCTGTAGGAGTCCTGCATGGCACCAGCAATTATAGCAATGCTTTCCAGGCTCCTAAAAAAAATAATAAATGCACATTTTGTTTTTACCTGTAAAAAAAAAAAAAAATTGCATTTTTTATTTTTTCTAAAAAAAAGAGAACCTATATATTTTAAACGGTAAGTCCACCCAGCACCTATACATATCAGGGTTTGCTAGATGTTACTGAGGACCCAATTAGTGAGATATCAGACCCCGAGTCTTTGTTTCTGCACACTTACTGTGACCATTATGACAGGATTGTGTTTTCCCTGTTGGATATTTGTTTTAATGGATGGAGAATGTAACAGGGAAATAAATAAAACGCAAACCCCAGCGCAGAAAGAAATTGAATCTAAATAAAATTAAGGTAACGGGTATGCCGCTGTGCAACAGTGTAAAACACCAATTAATAAAAAGAAAAAATATATATAACAGCGCAAAACCCAGAACTCTTATCCATAAATTGACATTAAACAACATCAATAATGTAAATAATATGTGTCCACAAAATGATAGTGTCATAAATAAAATATAAATGAAACGTCCTTCTTCTCAAAGGTGTATAATGAACAATTAAATAAATCTTCTCCCAAAGAAAAATGTGCTTCCACCATCCACCAGTGAAAAATCAACATCAACCGCACTCACCAGATAATGGTGAGTAATGTGCCTTTTAGGATTTTAGGGATCCTATGCCCCCTCTAAATTCTCCAGAGCTCTTAATCCACCTTGACTGACGCTCTCTCCTCCTCCTCCTCACTCCTTCAAGAGCTCCCCAGAAGTGCAAGAAAAAGGGATAACAGTGTAATACTGCCAGTAGCATTCAATATAATAATAATAATACCAGGCCACTCACATGTTCAAGGAAAGTTAAAAGCATTTGTTTAATAGCCTCATCGGCTCACACAGATTCTCATATCCACAGTAATAGCAGGAACCTCACAGCCTTGCAGTTTGCAGAGAATAACAATATAATCCAACATCAAAGATGGCCGCTTGGAACACACCTCTCAGCGTGCGTTCCACTCACCGGAAGTGACATATATCGTATTGACAACAGACCGGAAGTGCGTCGACACGTTTCGCCCCACCCACAGGGCGTTCTCAAGACATCACTTCCAGTCATCAGCCGCTTTTTATTCAGCCCGGGGTACCTCCCCTTTCTTTTGATATGTTAATTCCACGAAGAAAAAACGTTTACTTCTAAAACGTCATCCTCTGCTCACCAGTGTGGGATTCCTTCACAGTTGGTAACCCAATATCTATTATATTACACAGTTGGCTACTCTTAATACAATATTTATACACACAGTATCAATTAAATAATACTTTCAATAACCAATATAACCTGCAGTTATAAACTAATATGCTCCCCAATTCCCATGAATGTGGGCAGTTCATGTCCAGGGGCACACATCCATCCCTAACCACAGATAGTAACTCCATGTGCAATTACAAGTGATCAGCTGCAGAGTGTTGCAGAGCCAGCCTGTCATTGGTTTCTACAGGCTTCCTGTCTGTGGCTGATCAGAAAACAAGTAACCATATCTGCTGCAACACTATGCTGAACTGGGTGGTGTATGTATGATCCTAATCGGCTGTGTGCATGAGATCCTAAACTGAACGTTTATTGGACTTTAGTTAGGAATTACTCACTTCTTGAGGAGGGACTGCAAATGACACTGTTCTCAAGTCAAGTCGACAAAAGTCATCTGTGCAAGGCAGTATCCAGAAAATCCCTTCAAAGCAAAACATGAGATAAAGTTGGAAAAGAAAAAAAAAAAACAATTATACTGATTACTCTGTCACCTGAAGAGCTACTACTCACAAAGTAAACTGTTAAAAACAAAATATAACAAATTTAATGAGTCAAACTTATTTTCTTGCAGTGGCAATAAGGCCAATATGCAGACCTCTACCTGCCTCTCTGTCTGCATACAGCAGCTCTTAGTAACATAGGGGAAACATGTTATACTGATTTAAACTGGTTGTAAAGGAAAAAAAAAAAAAAAAAAAACACACACACAACAAACATGTCATACTTATCAGCTCTGTTCAAATAGAATTGCAGAGCGACCCCAATCCTCCTCTTCTCGAGTACCCCACTGGCACTCCTGGCCTCTTGCTGGTTCCCCCAATAGGAAGCAGATGGTCATGGGGGCATTCAAGCAATATTAACCCTTTCGCTAGTGGTAGTTCCAATTTTTTTTGCAATCACACAATATCACTGCAAAAGGTCCAGGAAACTCAGCTTTTCAGTAAAAAAAAACACACTAGAGTGAATTTCAGGGCAAACAAATGCAATAAATGACCCAAATTGTTGGTAAAATATAAAAATGAGCTTGCACAGAGTAAATAGATACCCAACATGTCAAATCTTAAAACTTTGTCCGTCCATGAAATGGTGACATACTTCAGTACCCTATATTTTCTATAGGCAACACTTCAAAAGCCCCTACAGGTCATAGTTTAGCATTATCGAGGAGGTCTTGTGCTAGAGTTATTGCTCTCACGTGTGTTGCAATCAATGTTTTCATGCGTAGGTGCCCCCAATGCACGCGTTTACATTTGTATATATATGTGGGGATGGGTTCAATTTGTGCGTGTGGTTGGGCGGGGGGGATTTTATGTGCTTGGGTTTAACCTTAATCTTTTGTGATTAAAAAAACATAGTTTTGCTTCTTTTCCCCAAAAAAGTCCCCTACGTGATGTTTTTAGGAGACATCCAGGGTTTAAAATCCACTATCCTCCTTCCCCACCATGCTGGTCCCAGGTCCGCAGATGGGCAAGTGTGGCGGGGGCTCCATTACCAGGGGTGTGTGGAAATAATTGGGTGGCAGCGTAGCTGCCAGAACGCTTCCACCTGACAGGCCCCACTCCCATACATTTTGAGGCTGAGCAAGATCATGTTCCTTTTTTGTCCTCATAGGACCCATCATGATAGTGTTCTCTTACCTTCATTAGTTTGGCTTACTAATGGTTTTCAGCTCCTGGATCTCTGGCAGGGTCATGAGTGGAGATGAGTTGTCCCTAGCTATCAGTGGGACAGTCATGTGTTCCCCAGCTATCAGAAGGGTGGTATTCATGGCACACAGAAAATGAGGATCAGAGTTCCCAGTCATTGGTGGTACTGAGCTGGATGGTTCCAGGATGACTGAGGATTCCCCAGCAAACAGCAAGATGGTATTCATGGCACATATGCAATGAGGAACATATCTGTGAGCATTCCCAGCCATTGGCAAGACTATGCTTGACCAAATGGCCGGCTAACAGCAGGTAGTCGTGTTCCCAGCATGTGCATGAACCACCCTTTAGAAGAGGTCTAGGATACATAAGTAGCAGGGCTTGAGGTCAGCACAAGGCACTTGACCAGACAGCACACAGGCTGTTAAGGAGTAACTCCACTTTTGTTTAAAAAAAAAAACCCACAACATATGGAGAGGACTATCCTCTCTGGGTGGTTGATGTACATTATAGCATCTTATTAAAGTTTGGTGCAGTTTCCTACCTTTTCTTTTCCTGTAATGAACAGATAACTGTTTGTTTTCAGTATATCCTGTTTTTCTATGGCAGGGTCTGATTCACTGACCACCTGGTGGAATCACAGTATTCCTCTAGCAGTGGTTAACCCCTTAGGGGGTTTCTCACCTAGCAAACAGAAAGGACTAGCGCATTGTCTTTTTTTTGAAAGCTTAGGAAACTCCAGCAGTAGCAGTCTGAATTGGGAAGATCATTTTTAAATTACTACATGGTTTCAGTAGCAATTGTACACGTTATAATATTTTTTCTTAATGTGGAGTCCTCTTTTAGACTTGCAGTTTTCTTTTTTGGCAGGGAATTTTTTATTGTACTATGACAGATCCTTGTGCAGCAGGCAGTGTAATCCCTCTATACTGTGTCTGCTCTATGCAGGTTGGTAGCTGAAGGGGAGCAATGTCTTCCTTACAGATACTTTTACCTGGGTTGTCAGTCCTTCTGTGGACCTCTTAAAGCTGTACACTCCTTACCTTCTTGTATTTCTTACTACCAGTTTTCTGCTAACACTTGTGCTTACTGCTTTGAACCATATTCATCCTTATAGTCAGCAGTCACCAAGGAGGTAAGGGGCATTTTGTCAGCTAAGCTTTTTTCTTTGAGATGTATACGAAGCTGACTAATAGGCTCTGGCCATTAAACCCCTCCAGGTCTACATGCATCGTGCACACATGTGTAAACTGGACCCATGTTGCTTATTTCTTGGTAGGCAAAACCCTGTATGAATTCCTGCTTTGTTCAGGCCGCTAGGGAGAAGGCCGACAACAACCAACAGGTTGTCACAAGTAGCTAAGACATTCTAAGGCTAGGTTCATACTAGCCCATGCACTGCTGGCTGGTTACAGGAATCCATGAGATACATTTCCCTTGCGAGATGCGAGGGGGGTGCCAGTCATTCAAAAAGCCAATGCAGTTTCCATGCTGATGCATTTTGGAAAAGGTGCATGCATCTTTTCCCTGCGTGAACCATGGGTGAAGAAGTTTCTTTCCAATTTCCTTGCGCAAGAATTCTCCACTCTGGCAATATTAATCAACTGGTCTCAGACCCTTCTTTGGCCATTTAACCCTCTTCAAACAATACCTTAAAGGAAGATGCAGATGAGAATGATCTATAAGCAGGTTTTTTGTACCACCTTTTGTAAGGCTGTTAGGATGCCTAAAATGGAAGATCCTGTAGAGGTGACTGCATCACAAGTAATTTTTAACACTTCCAGATGGGTGTGTTGCTATTTTTTTCTATGATGTCTAAACTAGAAGCTTATTCTAGAAGAGTGGTGCAAAACTGAACAGAAGGATAGAGCAACAGAGTGCCTTACTGGTCAGCACTTCTACCTTACAGCACTGGGTTCCTCAGTTCAAACCCCAACAAGGACACTTCTACCTGTACTGCAGGATGTCAGATTAGACACTAAGACCCCAGTCACACTGGATGTGAATTGCAAATTGCAGCCTATTGTCTGCTATTACAGCGGTCATATCGGTGCGGTTCCAACTTGGTCGGAGCCGCACCGATTTCTGAAGTAGTACATTCACTACTTTTTTTGCAATTTGCATAGACATCTGTATCAGATGTCTTGCAAATCGCATCTGAAATCTGCATGTCACCCGACTTTGAAATCGTGTGACTTCACTGTAAGTTGCACGATCTCAAAGTAGTGTTTGATGTGACCGGGGTGTAATGAGGAAGAGGGTTTCTATTATAGAGTCACTTATGTTGTTGGCATGACCTTCATGAGATTAGTTAAAAGCATGGAGTTGCCATTGGGAGATGATGTGTCCTTCAGGGGTATACTCAATCATGGTGATTGGGTGTGTCCTTGTGGGATGTAGTGTCCTTTGGTAATAACTTTGTGTTGATTTTAGTCTTTAAAGATATATCTGTCAGCATTTGCATTCTGTGTACCTGCCTTATCCCTTGCCTCTCTTCAAATGCAATGGGAGTTGGGATGGAGAATATTAGTTTCACCCTAAAGAATATTTCTCACAAGTAATGGATTTTGTCTGTGTTTCAAGAGTTTAAACTGCCCTCTTCAAGGCCAAGCTTCAATTGATCACAAAGAGCTGAGACTGTGTTTAGTCTGGCCTCATGCTTCAGAATAGATGTTGGCTGCATGAAAGAAGACTGCAGTTCAAGAATTTGTGTCTAATTAACTCTGTGGAGGTTTGTTCCTGCAGTCCCTGCTTGGAGTCCAGGAAGAATTGGAAAGAGAGAGCAAGTCCTCATCCAAGAATGCAAAAGAGCTCAACTTTTTCATGGTTGTTTTTTCAGATTATTCCACCCAGACATATCTTAATGGTATCAGGTTGCTCCTGTTCTAAAAAGAGGGTACAGCTTTGGTCTCAGATGCTTAGATCTTCAGGACAAGCACTTCAGGCCACATTCGTACAATCAGTTACCTTCAAGCCTTTGATTGTGCCAGGAGGAACCCCTTGCTCTGGCAACAATAGACAAGTTCTGCTAACCAAGGTCTATTCTTACTGTCTCAGGAGACAGCAATACTGGTCCCAGCCCAGCAGATGATGTTGTTAAGAGGGATGCCTATTTCCAGATCCCCAGAGCTGTCTCTACTCTGACATACCTCTGTCCCTACATGGGTCAAAGCATTATGCAGCTTACATGTCTGTTGGTTGGAATCTCAATTTACTCCTTCACAAGATCCTTTTTAAAAAATACAAGGGGGGGGGGGGGGTCTTAGATCCCTACAAGAGGTTGGATAGCTAGTGTTTTTAAAAAGGGCCATTTGACCCCTACACAGGTCCTTGTGTAGCTGAGAGCCTAATTCACAGTTCAGAATATATTATTTTTGCCACTAGAACATACCTGTTGTAGGGCATTGGTTTATTCTGGCTTTCCTATCTTCACCTGTCACCCTTAGGGGCCTTAGGCTGTAAGGGATCCTTTTGTGGTCTGCAGCCCCACATGGGATCATCTTCAGTCCAGTTTGAGTAAGGACTGCACCATAAAGACAGTCTATAAGGGCTTGTCAGGTGGATTGACAGGATCAGGGCCTTAGGCTGCGTGGGACCCTTTTCTTTTTTTTTTAGCATTCTTCCTAATACGGATAGTGTTTTTCTACCCATACTGGGTTGCAACCCTAGGTTGCTTCAGCATACTGGAACAAAAGAATTGTTCTCTCCACATGCAGGACCACTTAGGAAAACTGGTTCCATGTCCTGGGTTTTTGCATACTTTGTGCATGTTCAG